ATTTGGTGTCAGATCCAAAAAAAAAAAATCACTAAGTCACTGGACCATACTAATGTCAAGAAGCTTTTTCCCCAAATTTTATTCTAGTAGTTTTACATTTTCAATCTTATATTTAAGCCTTTAATTCATGTTGAGTTAATTTATGTATAAATGGTGTTAGATAAAGGTCCAATTTCATTTTTTTGCCTGTGGATATCCACTTTTCCCAGCACCATTGTTGAAAAAAGAATCCTTTTTTCATTGTGTGGTCTTGTCAACCTTGTTGAAGATCAGGACTATAAATACCTGGGTTTATTTGTGAACTTCCTATTCTTGCACTGATTTTATTTTTTGGCATGTTGACCCATTCTCATATTCCTGGGAGAAATTCCAGTTGGCCATGTTGCAGTTTTTTTCTTTTCTTTTTTTTTCAATTGAACCCAGGACCTTGCACATGCTAGGCAAGTGCACTACCACTGAGTTATATCCCCAGCCCCGTTGCACAATTTTTTCTACATGCTCCTGGATTCACTTTGCCAGTATTTTTTGAGGACTTTTATTTGTATGTATATTCTTTGCTTTTTTTTTTTTTTTTTTCTTGTTTGGTGGTGCTGGGGTTTGAACACAGGGCCTTGCAGGTGCTAGGCAAGCACTCTACCACTGAGCTACGCCCCAGCCTGTATGAATATTCTTAAGTGATATATCTCTAGTTTTTTATTGTCATATGTTTGTGTGGGTTTGATATTGGTATAAAATTAACCTCACAGAATGAATTGGGAAGTGTTCCCTCATCTTCCCTTTTCTCCAAAAAAGTGTGAAGCATTATAGAATTATTTTTTGAACTTTGAGTAAAATTCACCTTATGCCTCTGGTTCTGGCCTTTTCTCTGAGAAAAGGTTTTTTATTACTAATTCAACCTCTTTACTTCTTATCGTTTGTTCAGGTTTTCTATTTTTTCTTGAGTGATCTTTGACAGTTTGTGTCAGTCTTTCATTATAAGAATCTGTTTCTTCTAGGGTATCTAACTTTACTGGCATATAATTGTTCATATTATGATCTTACAATATGATTGGTAATACAGCCTTGATTTTTAAAGTTCTAATGATATTAGACTATTTGTAATTGCTATACTGCTTCACCTTTACATACAGTATTCCCTCTGACTAAAATGTCATTTTCTATCAGGAATATCAGCTTGAACATCACCTCTTTGTAATGCCTTCCATGACCACCTCAGACGTACTTTGGCATCCCTACCTCTGTGTGGTCATTACACTTTATACATTCCTCCATTTAAGAACTTACCTCCTTGATTATAATTTTCTCACTAAACTGAGTTCTTTTTTTTTAAGTACTGGGGATTGAACCCAGGGGTGCTTAACCACTGAGCCACATCCCAGCCCAATTTTGTATTTTATTTAGATACAGGGTTTCACTGAGTTGCTTAGGACCTCACTAAGTTGATGAGGCTGGCTTTGAACTTGTGATCCTCCTGCCTCAGCCTCCCAAGCTGCTGGGATTACAGGCGTGCACCATAGCGCCCAGCCCTTAAATTGAATTCTTAAAAAAATTAATTCAGCCACTATTTATTGCATATCTAGTTTGTGTCTGGTTCTTTATTGAGCCCTAGAGTGATGAGACTTTCCGATCTCTGATCTCATGGATGGGATGACAAAATTAGTAAACAGAAAAATCAAGTAATAATGATTATGGAAAGCTATATTAATGAAATAGAGGACTGATATCACATGAGGTCTTCATAGAAAAGATGGTCAGGAAAGGCCTCTCTAACTAGGTTATGTATGAGGTGAGGGCAAAAAAGGTACGAATGGGACAGCCTTGGCATTATTGTAAGAAGAGCATTCCAAGCAGTGAGAAGAGCATATGTATGTGAAAGTCAGAGGTTGGAAAGTACATGTTTGTTCAAAGAACAGAAGAAATTCTGGTGTGGCCAGTGTGTAGGGAGGGAGGGAAACAGTGTATGAGATTAGGCAGGGGCCCAGTTGTGTACTCAGCTCCTGGTAGACCATGGTAGGGAGTTTGGATTTTATTCTAGGTGTCTGTGGAAGCCATTCTTGCTTCTATTTAGAGAATAATTTAGAGTGAGACAGTAGAGGAAACAGATCCTAAAATAAGTGGTTAGATTTTATGTTTATGTTTTTGTTAGATTTGAATTCAAAGTGAGGAAGACCTAAGTATGACATACTCATGTGAAAAAAGAAAAAGATTGCTTTGACCACAGAAAAATCTAAAATTTCCATATGAGGAAAACAAAATCAAAGACAAATAACAAACTTGAGAAGAAATATTTGCCAGGAGCTAAGCATGGTGGCACATACCTGTAATCCCAGCAGTTTAGGAAGCTGAGGCAGGAGGATCCTCAAGTTCAAAGTCAGCCTCAGCAATTTAGAGGGCCCTAAGCAATTTAGCAATATCCTGTCTCAAAAAAGGGTTGGGGATGTGACTCAGTAGCTAAGTGCTCCTAGGTCAATCCCTGGTACCCATAAAAAGAGAAAAACAAAAGAAGGAAGAAATATTTGTAAGACCCTTTAACAATACCAAGTTTCCTTAAAGTAAAATGAAGAGATAACTCATTAGACAAAAGATATGCACTGACAGTTCACAAAAAATACAAATGGCTGTTAAATTTATGAAAACATGTATAACTTCTGTCTTAAAAAATAAATGCAAATTTGAAGATCCCATTTTTCACCCATGAGATTGACAGGGATGCAGTTTAATACATAATGTTGATGAGACTGTAGGGAAACAGATCTCAATACATTAATATTAGGACTATAAATTGGTTCAAGTTCTATAGAGTAATTTGGCAGTATTTAAAAATGTGTACGCTTCTAGGAATTTATGCAACAGAGAAAAGACATTTGGGTTTACCACATAAAGAAATACAATGTAGCCCTTGTAAAGAATAAAGCAAGCTGGAGGCAGTAGTACAGGCCTGTAATCCCAGTGGCTCAGGAGGCTGAGTCAGGAGGATCACAAGTTCAAAGACAGCCCCAGCAACTTAAGCCCTAAGCAACTCAGTGAGACCCTGTCTCTAAATAAAAATTTAAAAGAGGGCTGGGGATGTGGCACATTGGTTGAGTGCCCTTGGGTTGAATCCCCAGTATCAAAAAAATTTTAAAAAGAATGAAGCAGCTCTTTATCTATTTATATGGAAGAATCATATATATGTGTATATGTTTATATATATATATACACACACACACGCATATATATATATATATATGTGTGTATATATATATGTGTGTGTTAAATTTATGAAAACATGTATAACTTCTGTCTTAAAAAATAAATGCAAATTTGAAGATCTCATTTTTCACCCATTTAAGAAACATTTTGAATGATTTTTTTTAAAAGGTGAAGAATAGTGTAAAATATGGTACATTCGTATAAAAAAGGAAAAAAAAGGTGTTTCCTTATGTACCAGGGATGGGGATATAGTTCAGTGGTAAAGTGCCTACCCAGCATGTGCAGGGTTCAATCCCCAGCACAGAAAAAAAGCCTAGAGTGCTTGCCTACTGTGTACCTGTCAGTCTTCTTTGCTTGTACATGCGTTGACTATCTCTGGGATGAACACAAAAAAATCAGAAGGATTTTGCCTATGGAGAAGGGAACTTGGTGTGTAGGGGACAGGTAGGATGGATATTTATTTTTCATTTTATTCTTGTATGTATACCTTATGCCTATGTTGACTATTAAAATTTTGAAACAAGCAAGAGGGGTTGAGTGAGGAGATCAGTCAGGAAGTTGTTACAGTAGTAGAAGGAATTGATAATGGTGGCAGGAAGGTGTAAAAAAGTAGACATGTTCAAGAAATTTTTTTTGAGATTAAATCCATCAGATTTGTTCATGAAGTAAGTGTGAGAAATGAGGGAAGGAGAAGAATCAAGGATGACTTCCAAGTTTCTGTTAAGCAACTGGGTGGGTAGAATTGAGTCTTTTAATCAATGTGTTGGTTTTCTAAGGCAGTATCATGTGGGCTCTTGAGTTTGACTGCCTGGGCTTGAATTCAACCTCCTCTACTTCCTAGCACTACAATTTTGTGCAAATCTTATAATTCATGCTTAAGTTCCCTCATCTGTAAAATGGGAATAATAATATATCCTACCTCACAGTGTTATTGTAAGGATTACATGAGTTAATAAATGTATATTTATTAACTCATGTAATCCTTAAAATAATTTTAATATTTTAGAATGGCTCATAGCATATGGTAAAAGCTATACCATTTTCCTTCTGTATCCACATGGAATTTGTTCCAGGACCTCCTGTAGATACCAAAATCTGCAGATACTCAAATCCCTAATATCAAATTGCATAGCATTTGCATATAACTTATTCTCTCACATACTTTAACATCTTTATGTTACTTATAATACCTGTACAACCTGAATGCTATGTAAATAATTGTTATACTGTATTGTTTAGGGCATAATAACAAAAAATGTACATGTTCAGTACTGACACAATTTTTTTTCTGAATATTTTTGATCCACAGTTGGTGGAATCCACACATGAGGAACCCTTGCATGTGGAGGGCTAACTATTTAAGTGGTTGCTGCTATCATTGTTAGTATGACTATAATCATTACTATGACAGTTATATTGCACCTCTTCCTCTTCTGTCTGGGTAACCATTTTAGGGGCTCAATAAATGCTTGTGGAAGGAAGGACGGAAGGAAGGAATGTTGGAACTTTAAAATTAACACATTTAACCAATTGATCTATGAAATGAAAAAAAAAATTAAAATATCTATTTATTTTTTTGTTTTTTTAGGTGTACACAGTATCTTTATTTTACATTTACGGGGTGCTGAAGATCGAACCCAGTGCCTCGTGCATGCTAGGCGAGTGCTCTACCACTGAGCCACAACCCCAGTCCTGAAATGAAAACTTTTGAAAGGCCTTTTTAGTATGTGAAGAAATTAGATGGTATGGTTAATAGGTTATGGGATTTACTCCTGCCTTCTTACTTTTTACTTCCATTTTCTGTACAGGCCTGAAGGCATTGAACGACAATACAGGAAGAAGTGTGCAAAGTAAGTGTTAACCATGTGGGTTTCTCCAGGAATAGGCAAGTAGAGGCATAATAGATTACGAAAATAACTATTTGGATACAATATTCTGTTGTGTCTCTGTTTTTATAATCTCAACTGCCTTCAAACCAAATACTAATATATTTCCTAAAGAGACTAGTCAGAGTTACATCCCTGACTAGCTGGCCACAAAAATGAGTTTTTAACATAGTGCAATTTTATAAAAGTTGAGATGTAATCCATATGTAATGAAACGTGCCCATTTTAAGTGTTCAGTTTGATGGGCTTTGACAAAAGAATATAGTCATGTAATACCACCATCATCATGATATCAAACATTTCCAGCATTTCATATGCCTTTGCAGTCCAACCCCCCACCCTCCCATTAGGCACTGCTTTCTGTTACAATGGTTTTGCCTTTCCTAAAATTTAAATTCTACAATATGTGTTATATATGTATAGTATTTATCTTTTGCACCTCTTATTTTAGTCCTTCAAGTTATTATGTCATGGGGCTGGGATTGTGGCTCAGCCGTAGAGCCCTCACCTTGTTGAGAGCCACAGCCGAAGGGGCCCCAGCAAACTTCCAGCTGCCAGCTGATGATTGGCTCACAGCGGCCCCAGCAAACTTCTAGCTGCCAACTGATTGGCTCCTGGAAGTTTGCTGGGGCCCCTTCGGCTGTGGCTCTCAACACACCTAGCACGTGTGAGACCCTGGGTTCAATCTTCAGCACCACATAAAACTAAATAAATAAAATAAAGGTATTGTGTCCAACTACAACTAAAAAATAAATATTTTAAAAAGTTATTATGTCATTAATCATTTATTCCTGTTTATTAATAAGCAGAATTCAATGTATCCAAGTTTGTTTGCCCATTCACCCATTTGAGATGAACGGTGTTTTAGTTGTTTCCAGTTTGGGCTATTATAAGTAAAGTTGCTGTGAATATTCTAGTATAAATTATAGTGTGAACATGTATTTTCTCTTGGAGTGGAATTGACTGGGCCATATGGTAAACGAAACTAGTGTAACTTAATCCAGACCTATTTGTAAAGTCTATTATAGGATCATAGACTCAAGAATCTTAAAGAATATTATGTGTATTTCCAGTTTTAGGCTATTAATAGTGACTATTAAACTAAAAAAATTCAATCTTGATGAAACTACGGTTACAGCTTGTCTCTCAGAAGACTCAAACTAGGAGATTAAAGCTGAGGAAAATGGATAAGAATGCATTTTCACTCCCAGCCATATTGGATTGATGAAATTGGTTTTATCATTTCTTGTAGGTCTACTTTGTTTAGCTCAATAAGTGTAATAATGGTCAGCCAAAGAAAGTGGTGATTACTACCAGGACTGGTTGCCAACCACTACAGTGGAACCTTTACACTCCTCCCAACACTACAAAAACAAAACAGAACAGAAAAAAATCTAGACAAAATGCTCAAACCAGTTACCCAGGTGACTGGGAAGAATAGTGGCAGTTTTGACTGCAAAGCAATCAATAACATGAGCTAGGGTTTATCAGACTTGTTGAATATTATAGATCACTTGAAATGCTCAATAAACTTGCAGATTCACAGTCCTCACTCCCTACATTTGCTGGATCAGGATCTTTTGGGAGTGACCTAGGAATCTTAACAGCAATTTATTTTGAATATTTATTTTTTAATTATAGGTAGACACAATAACTTTATTTTATTTTATGTGGTGCTGAGGATCAAACCCAGTGCCTCACGCATGCCAGGCGAGCACTCTGCCTCTGAGCTACAGCCCCAGCCCAGCAATTTTCTTTTTTTTTCCAGCAATTTTCTTAATATTTATTTTTTTTAGTTGTAGTTGGACACAATACCTTTATTTAATTTATTTATTTGTATATGGTGCTGAGGATCAAACCCAGGGCCTTGTATGTGCGAGGCGAGCACTCTACCGCTGAGCCACAACCCCAGCCCCTTAACAGCAATTTTAACAAGCACCATTTGGGAATCAGTCATTGAGAAAAGCTAATCCTTATTTTATGACACAAAAATATTCCCAGGGTCTACATATGTTTTGCAAATCTCTGAGGGGATTTGGAATCAGAGTTCTTCTAGAGGTTCATTCTGCCTTTTGCAGGTGTGGACTACCACTGTTCTACCAGTCCCAGCCGAAGAATGCCCCTGTGACCTTCATTGTGGATGGAGCAGTAGTGAAATTTGGTCAGGGTTTTGGGAAAACAAATATATATACTCAGAAACAAGAGCCTCCAAAGAAGGTAATTATCATTGAAGGAGACAGACTGCTTAATACAGCTACAGATTTCCTCCCAAATGTCTTTTATTGTGGTGCTAGGGATTGAACTCAGGGATTAATACATGCTAGGCAAATGCTATACTACTGAGTTACACCCCCAGCCCCCATACTTTAAAATAAGGGTTTAGTACACAAGAAAGTGCCCTTTATGGATGTCTTCATTTTTAAAATTTTTAGTTGTAGATGGACACAATACTTTTGTTCATTTATTTTTATGTGGTGCTGGGGATTGAACCCAGTGCTAGGCAAGCACTGTACCACTAAGCTACAACTCCAGCCCCTAGATGTATTCATTTTTAAGAGAATGCCATTTTGTGTTTAAGCAGATATTACAGAATTGTAACACCTATTCTTTTTTTCCTACAGTTGCCCCATGAGTAATCTTAGAAAATGTGTAGTTTTTATTCTCATTTATTTCCTTAAAAATTATTTTTCCAGTGTGAATAATTAAACAGTAAATTAACTAGGCTAAATTTTAGAAAACATTTTAAAAACCCTTGGTGCCAAATGTTATAAAAATATAAATGTAAATAAAAACATTGACACCTTTAGATAGGCAGCCTGTCCCAAAGAGGCAGTGCCCCCCACCCTGTACACAGGTGTGTGTACACTCACACTCGCATGTGACTTATGGATCCTCTTGGGGTGAACTAGACTAACTCCTCTTCCTGCTGTTTCAGGTGATGATGACCAAACGGACTAAAGACATGGGCAAGTTCAGCTCTGTCACTGTGTCTACCATTGATGAAGAGGAAGAGGAGATTGAGGCTGTAAGTGCTTCACCTCTCAAGGGAATTTGAATTTGGGGTGGGTTAAGAAAGGGAACTCCAGAGCTAGAGCATGATGTACCAGAGAACAATTAGAGACATTGCTTTCAGACCCTGCTCTGCTAGTAAGAAACTATGTGACACTGGGTTAAAGCCTGTTTCCCAGGACCTCAGGGATAGCTGTAAGATGTGCACAAGAGAGTTTGAACTCTTTCATTCCTCTTAAATTTGAAGACTACTGGACTAAATTATTTTAGAGCCTTTCCAGTCCAGCTCTGATGGTTTGGCAGTCTGTTCTCAGCAGCTGCAGCAGTAGCAGCCACAATTACCTTTCTGTTACTTCAGTAGAATGAAGTTTATGGAGAGATGTGAGCTGTTATTTTTAAAATGATTTTGGTTGAAGCCTGAATTTCTCTGGATTATTGAAAAGGAAACAGAGGCCTGTCATTTTAGTAATGATTTCATGACTTGAACACTGTAAATTGTTGCTATGGTCTTTATTATAATTCCTCAGTGAGAGAGCTAGTTTAAGGATGCTTCTTTTTTCCTTCAGAGGGAAGTTGCTGACTCATATGCACAGAATGCCAAAGTGATTGAAAAACAGCTGGAGCGCAAAGGCATGAGCAAGAGGCGACTGCAAGAGCTGGTGAGTGCCATGGGATAGGAAGGCTCTGGCTTCTTTGTTTGGATTTCATCTCTGAACAACTGTCCAGCAGGCAGGGAAATACTTTAGGAAATCTCTTGGGGGTGACCAGTATAGTTGGCTGCTGACTTGCTAACCCTAGCTTGTGGTTGTTGGTATAACCTTCTCTGTAGTAGAGGCTGCAGGGTCCAGGCCCTAAATTATAATACCTGTTATCTAACTAGGATGATATTTTAATCTGCTATTTATGGTCCAAGGTAAGGCATTTAAAGGTGAGAGTTTCTGGATACTCTCCCAGGATGTAATGATGCATGATAGTGTTATTGGCAGTACCTGCATTGGGGTGGTTATTACTTCTTTTTTTTTTTAGAGAGAGAATTTTAATATTTATTTTTTTAGTTTTTCGGCGGACACAACATCTTTGTTTGTATGTGGTGCTGAGGATCGAACCCTGGGCTGCACACATGCCAGGCCAGCGCGCTACTGCTTGAGCCACATCCCCAGCCCCGGTTATTACTTCTTAAAGCACTGGTAGTTTCCTGTGTTATTCCAGGGTTTGAGCATGCATATCTATATTTGATGGTGCCTACATTTCTCTTTTTTTATAATTGCTTTTAATATTTTATTAAACTCTGACAGTGCTTCATTGATGCCTTATCAAAAGACATATACCATTTTCTTCTAATGACTGATATATATATATATATATATGACATTGATGGGCCTTTATTTTGTTCATTTATTTATATGTGGTGCTGAAAATCGAACATGCTAGGCAAGCGCTCTATCACTGAGCCACAACACCAGCTCCTGACTGGTATATTTTTGGTTGCTGTTTTACCTTGCAATAGTGGTCTAGAGTAGTCTCAAACTTTATAAGATGAAAAAACCAGTGTTTTCTTTTTAATTGCCAATTTTGTAATTTATAAAATATAAATATTGAATTGACCTCAATTTGTATTATTAAATTATTTCATTTTATTATTACTCTATCAAATTGCTATAAAAGTTTCTTAATGTTTACTCTTGATTTTTGCATGTATGTTGCGTGACTGATTAACAAATAGTTTATGGACTCCAAAATTTAGTAGCACTGTTTTGGAATGGTGTTCTTCCCTATTCTGCCAAGAATAGGATAAGAATAGAATATGCCATGACATTGATTCCCTCAGCCCATGGGAGGTGCTGGGTTCCTGGAATCCCTGCATTCATTATCTTAAGCCACAGCCTTGTATCTCTGCCTGTATTTTGGCTACAAGTACCATTTTTTGAGTGTGCTGTAACATCAGAAGGGTTGGAAAGAAGTTGTATAGACACATAAAGATTTTAGAATCACTTCTGGTTTGTACACTATATGTGTACTAAGGTAGAGGGTTTCTTTTTTTTCCTATCTTTGTATTTTTTTTATTTCCATCTTTTTTATTGGTGTATTATAGTTGCACATAATGATGGGATTTGTTGTTACATATTCATACATGCACACAAAATGACAGTATAGTTTGGCCAATATCACTAAGGGAGAGTGTTTCCAAGTGTTTTCTTCAAATAAGGAAGGAAAAATAAGACTTTTGAATGATATATCAAGGCATACATTTTTTTTTTCCTTTCCAGGCTGAACTGGAAGCCAAGAAAGCTAAAATGAAGGGGACCTTGATTGACAACCAGTTCAAATGACCAAGACTTTTCTCTGAGCCCAGACTGGAGGCAAGCATTTAGATCAAGAAGAAAAATAACTTCTTGATTACATGGACTGGTTTCTGTTTATTCCCTAGGAGGAGTCTTTATTTTGCTTCCGATTGATTCTCTTGCATTCAGTGAGGTCTTTGAGTCCATTTGACCTGATTTCTAGGAGATGAATTTTTCTAAGTCTTTACGTAGGTTTTATGAACTATTTTTTTGTCCATTTGATATAAAATTCTTCAGCTACATAAAAACTTTATGAATAGATTAGTGCTGAGTGTGTCTAGTTTCTAAAATGACTTTTTATTCCTTTTTCAGTTAATAGAATATTGAAAGATTTTTGGAAAAATATTATGGTGTGTCATAGAGAAAAGTAGCATGAATTATATGTAAAATTACAGCAAGTCATATCCTTTTTAAGTGACTCTGTCTCTGGTCTTATAATGGCTCTTAGAATTGGCAATCTTTGTCCTATCAGCAGAGTTCCATTGAAAGTCAAAATCTGCATAAAGTTCTCTTTACTTCAAATATTAAGAGTTATAGGTGAGCCATACCATATCAGACTTTATACTTAAAGAAGGAGAAGCTACAGGGCTGGGTATATTGCTCAGTCATAGAGTGCATGTGAGGCATGTGTGAGGTCTGGGTTCCATCCCCAGCACCACATACGTGTGTACATGCACACACACCCCAAAGTGAAAAGCCAGATTGTGTAGTGAGAGAGTTGGTTAGCTCAGATTTGAATTATAAAAGGATCTTATTAAGTAACCCAAGGGAGCTGCTATCTAGTGAAACAGCTGGGTGTACTGCTTCTCTGTGTGGGTACATGAAATAAATAAAATTTTCTGCTAGGTATTGTTTATTTTACATTTGTTATTTGCAGAGGAATGTTGTGTATATAAATATTTTATGTCATGCTGCTTCAGTGATATCAATATCTGTATATTTGTATTCATATTTTTATCTATTCCCTGTATTACACAGTGTAGGGTCAGAAAGCATGTTAACCTCCTCATATTATCTATAATGGATCACAGTTATTAGCAAGCATCCAAGACTTGTTTGTGAGGTGCTGCTGGGAAATGGTAGAACAGTTTTCTTTGTGTCTTTTCTGATTTTTTTTTTTTTGTTTTTCTTTCTTTTGGGGGAGGGTACTGAGGATTGAACTCGGGGGCATTCAACCACTGAGCCATATCCCTATCCCTATATTGTATTTTATTAGAGACAGGGTCTCACTGAGTTGCTTAGTGCCTTGCTAAATTGCTGAGGCTGGCTTTGAACTCATGATCCTCCTGCCTCAGCCTCCTGAGCTGCTGGGATTACAGGAGTGCGCCACCGTGCCCGGCCTCTGATTTCTTTATTGCACAGAAAAGTAGGTTGGAATCAGAGTAGATATAATCTAGCAACAGATATACAAAAGAGGGATGGAGTCCTGAGAAGGCCCAAAATAGGGCTGTGTTACCATCTTCCAGGTTATTCTACATTCCATGAGGCTTTTTGCAACTGAGTCTTTCTCTTCACCTCATTTCCTGTCCTTATTCTGAGAAAGAAGTAACAATCACGTGGATAACCTCCTCACAATTTCTAACCTCAACTCCAGACAATGACCTCTACCTTTACTTCACTTTAGTCATAAGCTCCCATGATTACAGCCTGGATATCATCTACACAACCTCTGAAATCCAATATTTTGTTCTCTGATCACAATCATTCACTTCTTCTGAAGCTGTTTTGTTTTTAGATTTGAAGGGTGATTGTTAGTAGTAAATAATGAAAAATAGTAGTAGTAGTAATAGCAAAAATACTCACCACTCTTTATTGAGTATTTACTATGTGTCAGGTGCCAGGGAAAGTACTTTACAGGTATTACCTAAACAACACGATAATTCTTAAAGTTTAGATGTTACTATTCCCATTCTAAAAATGAGTATTCTGACATTCAGAGAGTTTAAGTTTCCTAAGATCCCCTAGTCAGTATGTGGTAAAGACAAAAGTTTGATTTTAAAACTAGAACAGGAAAACTGCTTCTCCTGTGGAATTTTTAAAATATATATTATTAAGATCAGAATGCAATTTCATTTTGAGAAACCAAATAAAGTGCATTATAAAAATTCTTGCATCGAGAACTCCCTATAATAAATCTGTGGTTACATTTCTACATATTTTCTGAAATATTTGTCTTTAGATACTAGTTCTAAACCATTTCAACATCTGGTTCAAGTTATGCATTTTGCTTCTTCTATATGATTGTGAAATGTTATGTCATTAACACCAAGCCACATATGCTCTTCATTATGTTTTATTCTTTTATATTGAAATAATTGTTAAAAAATAACATAGTTCCTCTAATCTGTTAACTCATATTATAGCACATACAGTGTTTTAATGTTAGTACAAAGAGATAAAGAGCCATATTGAAATTTTGGAGGGTCTTGTTCCTTTTTTTTTCTTTTTGCAAAATATCCATTGTGAGAAAAATATTAAAATGTGTGTGAAATATTCCCATTGTAGTAATTGGTGACATTTTTGTAACATAACTTTATTGTTTAAGAGAAATTGAAAAGCTTTTTAAAACCTGGGTTGCCTTGCTAAGGACAATGGCACAAGCCTATAGTCCCCATACTCATGAAGATTGCTTGAGTCTTGGAGTTAAAGGCCAGCTTTGGCAATATGCTGAGACCCCGTTTCAAAAAAATAAAATGAAATAAAAGGCTAGATTGTCTCAACCATTTTAAGGTCTTTAGAACAGTTTCTCTGCCCTTAAATTTTTTTTTTTTTTTTTTTTTTTTTTTTTTGGTACTGGGGATTGAACCCAGAGGTGCTTTACCACTGAGCTACATCCCCAGCCCTTTTTTATTTTTTATTTTTAGACAGAGTCTTGCTAAGTTGCTGAGGCTAGCCTCTAACTTGCAATCCTCCTGCCTCAGCTTCCTGAGTCACTGGGATTATAGGCCTGCACCACCCGTCCCAGCTGTATCTAATGATTTTAATTTGAATTTCCCTAATGACAAATGATGATGAACATACTGTTTTTTTTATTATGGTAAAAAACCACATAACACAAGCTTAACACCTTACCATTTTAATTATACAGTTTAGTAGTGTTGAGTACATTCACATTTTGTGATTTGGATCTTTTGAACTTTTCCATCTGGTAAATCTGAAACTCTACCCATTAAACAATTCCTACTTTTTCTTTTCCCCCAGTCCCTAGTAACTACCATTATATTTTCTGTTTCTGTGAATTTGACTACTTTAGATAACTCTTATAATTGAAATAATACAGTATTTGTCTTTTTATTTCTGCCTTATTTCACTTAGCATAATGTCTTCAGTGTTCATCCATATTATATCTTGCGGCAAGATCTCCTTCCTTTTTTTTCTCCCTATTTTATTTATTTAGGCTTAAATGTTTTGTAGTACATATAGTTATACATAATAGTGGAGTTCATTTTGACTAATTATACAGGCATGGAATATAATTTGCTCCATTTCAGTCCTCAGTTCTTCCTCTTTCCCTTCTTTCCTTCCTCTCCTTGTTCCCCTTTTGTTTGTTTGTTTGTTTTGGGTACTGGGGATTGAACCCAGGAGCCCTTTACCACTGAGCTACAGCCCCAGCCCTTTTTTATTTTTTATTTTGAGACAAGCTCTTATTAAGTTTCTTAGGGTCTAAGTTGCTGAGAACTTAATGATCCTCTTGTCTCAGCCTTCCATGTCACTAGTATTACAGGTATGTGTCACTACTTGTGTTTTGTTTTGATTTGTTTTTGAATTGGTGCTATACACACACACACAGAGAGAGAGAGAGAGAGAGAGAGAGAGAGAGAGAGACATACACACACAAAGATGGGATACACTGTGATATATTCATATATGTACATAGTATAATTTTGTCAGTTTCGTTCCACATTTTTTTCCTGTTGCTGTCCCCCCTCATTCTCTACTCCACTTCATTCTCTACTCCACTGATCTCCCCTCTATTTTCATGGGATTTGCCCCTATCTTTTTTCCCCTTTGTTCTAGCTTCCACATATGAAAGAAAACTTTTGACCCTTGACTTTCTGGGTGTGGCTTATTTCACTTAGCATCATATTCTCTAGTTCCATCCATTTACTGGCAAATGTTATTATTTCATTCTTTTTTGGGGTACTGGGTATGGAACTCGGGAACACTCAACCACTGAGCCAAATCTCCAGCCCTATTTTGTATTTTATTTAGAGACAGGGTCTCACTGAGTTGCTTAGGGCCTCACTAAGTTGCTGAGGCTGGCTTTGAACTTGAGATCCTCCTACCTCAGCCTCTTGAGCTGCTGGTATTACAGGCGTGTGCCACTGCACCTGGCTATTATTTCATTCTTTGTGGCCGAGGAAAACTCCATTGTATATATCTCCCACATTTTTTAAATTAATTTATCTATTGACAGGCACCTCAGCTGGTGCCGTAACTTGGCTATTGTGAATTATGTTGCTATAGACTTTGATGTGCCTGTTATCGCTATAGTGTACTTTTGGGTGTATACGAAGGAGTGGGATACCTGGGTCATATGATGGTTCTGTTCTTCATCTTTTGAGGAATCTCAATACTGCTTTCCAAAGTGTTTATACTAATTTGTAGTCCCACCAATAATGAATGAATGTACTTTTCCCCCTACATTCTCACCAAGCAAGTATTGTTGTTTGTATTCTTGATTGTCATTCTAAGTGGAGTGAGCTGAAATCTCAGTGTAGTTTTAATTTGCGTTTCCTTGATTACTAGGGACGTTGAACAGTTTTTCCCATATTTATTGGCCATTTGTATTTCTTTTGAAAAGTGTCTGTTTAGTTCTTTTGCCCATTTATTTCTTGTTTTTTTTTTTTTTCCTGGCAATAAGTTTTTTGAGTTCTTTATATATTCTGGATATCAATCCCATCTCTGAGGAGCAGGTGGCAAAGATTTTCTCCCATTCTGTAGGCTCTCTGTATGCATGCCCTTAATTGTTTCCTATGTATGTTATACAGACCTTTTTTAGTTTGATGTCATCCCACTTATCGATTCTTCATTTGATTTCTTGAGCTTTAGGGGTCTTGTTAAAGAAGTTGGTGCCTATGCCAATATGTTGGAGTGTTGACCCTATGTTTTTTTCTAGCAGTTCCAAAGTTTCTGATATAATTGCTAGGCCTTTGATGCGCTTGGATTTGACTTTTGTTCAGGGTGAGAGATGGGACCATATGGGATCATTCTTCTACATATAGACATCCAGATTCCCAGCATCATTGGTTAAAAATGCTATCTTTCCTCCAACATATGTTTTTGTTACATTGTTGAGTATTAGATAGCTGTAAGTGTGTGTGTTTGTCTCTGTGTCTTCTATTCTATCTTCATGCTTGTTTTGATCTAATACCATGCTGCTTTGATACTATAGTTCTGTAGTATAATTTGAGGTCCAGTATTGTGATGCCTCCGGCATCACTCTTCTTGTTCAGGATTGCCTTAGCTATTCTGGGATTCTTATTCTTCCAAAGGAATTTAAGGACTGTTTTTTTTTCTAGTTCTGTGTGGGTTTTTGTTGTTGTTGTTGTTGTTGTTTTGGTACTGGGGATTGAATCCAGAGACACTTTACCACAGAGTTATATCCCCTACCATTTCTTTCTTTTTTTAATTGATTTTAAAAAAATAAATGAAAGCAGAATGCATTACAATTCTTATTACACATATAGAGCACAATTTTTCATATCTCTGGTTGTATATAAAGTATGTTCACATCAAGGTTCGTGTCTTCATACATGTACTTTGGATAATGATGACCATCACATTCCACCATCCTTACTAACCCCTGCCCCCTCCCTTCCCCTCCAACCCCTCTGTCCTATCTAGAGTTTGTCTATTCC